TGCTGGGATTACAGGCATGAGCCACCATACCTGGCCAACTTTTATTTTTTTCAATTAAAAAAATATTTTAAGAGACAGAGTCTCAGTCTGTCACCTAGGCTGCAATGTGGTGGCACAGTCATAGCTCACTGCAGCCTCCAACTCCTAGGGGCAAGAGTGACCCTCCTGCTTTAGCCTCTTGAGTAGCTGGGACCACAGGGGTGTACCACCATGCCTAGCTAAAAATTTTATTAAGAGATGGGGTCAGCCAGGCGTGGTGGCTCATGCCTGTAATCCCGGCACTTTGGGAGGCCAAGGCAGGCGGATCACCTGAGGTCAGGAGTTCAAGACCAAACTGACCAACATGGTGAAACTCCGTCTCTACTAAAAATACAAAAATTAGCCAGGCGTGGTGGCGCATGCCTGTAATCCCAGCTACTCGGGAAGCTGAAGCAGGAGAATTGCTTGAACCCGGGAGACGGAGGTTGCAGTGAGCGGAGACTGCGCCACTGCACTCCAGCCGGGGAGACACAGCGAGACTCCATCTCAAAAAAAAAGAAAAAAGAAAAAAAGAAAAAATTCCAAACCTGTAAGCCTTAACCCGTGGAAGTGCCTGACAGGCATCCTTGGTTCTGCACAGGTTTCCTCCAAAGAGGACAGATTGCTGGAGAAGCTTCCAGATGCTGTGAGGTTCCTGGTGGTCTCTGAAGATGAGTCCCTCCTTGCCGCAGGTAGCATTAAGCTCTCATTTGGAGTAGTGAGGAAGCTAATCGGGACCAGGCTGGAGAAGGGGGTGGGGCTTGGGAACAGAGCAAGGTCCTAGGGCCAGAGGTTAGCAAACTTTTTCTGCCAAATGGCCTCATAGTAAACATTTTTTGCAGTCCAGATGAGACAGTTTCAGTTGCAAAGACTCAACTCTGCAGTTACGGCACAAAAACTAGACTAGACACCATTTTTCTGTCCTCTTTCTTTCTTTCTTTCTTTTTTTTTTTTTTTTTTTTTTTGCGATAGGGTCTTGCTGTGTCACCCAGGCTGAAGTGGAGTGGCTCCATCATAACTCATTGCAGGCTTGAATTTCTGGGCTCAAACGATCCTCCCACCTCAGCTTCCTGAATAGCTGGGATTACAGGCATGCACCACCATACCCAGCTAATTTTTGTATTTTTAGTAGAGACGGAGTTTCACCATGTTGGCCAGGTTGCCTTGGCCTCCCAAAGTGCTGGCATTACAAATATGAGCCACCACACCCGGACTAATTTGCTCTTTTATTTCCACCATCTGCAACCTAATGGATGGTGGCATGTTAGCAGCTCAGTCAGCCCCTTTCCCCTTTCTGGCCTACAGCTCTGGGACTGGCTTGGCCCTACCACTGCTTCTATTGCATGGGGCAGCTGCCCTCTGCCAGCAGGGACAGAGGGCCACAGTGTTAGAGCCCTCCTGGGTACCCACATCCAGTGAGTCCTAAGCTCTTGTCCCATGTCCAAGAAGAATGAAGTCATGCTGACAATTGAAAAGTGATAAGGACAGAGAATTTTATTGAGCAATGAAACAGCTCTCAGGGGAGAGGGGATGTGAAGGTCGAGTCATCTCTCTGTGTGTCTGAGTCTGGGAGTTTTTATAGGCACAGGATGGGGGAGGGGCAGGCAGTAGGTAGTATTGGAAAAGGTAACATTCAGTTGGTTAAAAAGCATTATTCAGGCTAGGTGCAGTGGCTCATGTCTGTAATTCCAGCACTTTGGGAGGCCAAGGTGGGCCATCACCTGAGATCAGAAGTTCAGACCAGTCGGACCAACATGATGAAACCCTGTCTCTACTAAAAACACAAAAATTAGCCGGGCACGGTGGCAGGCACCTGTAATCCCAGCTACTCAGGAGGATGAAGCATGAGAATTGCTTAAACCCAGGAGATGCAGATTGCAGTGAGCCAAGATCACGCCACTGCCAAAAAAGTCTTATTCAGAAAGAATCAATCAGGAAAGGGCGGGCAAAAAGGCACAGGAGTTCTCACTCTGGGTTGTGGACTTCATTTGGAACCAGCAGCCCAGGCTGTTTTTGGTTCAATGGTACAGTTTCACCAGGGACCCATTCCTATCTGGCTAGGCATTTACCTGCCTCCTGCCACTATCCCTTCCTTTCTCCCTTCTTACTTTCTTTCCTCTTCTTCCTTCCTTCTTTCCCTTCTCATTTCTCTCCTTCCTCCCTTCCTCTTTACTTTTTTTCTTCCTCTCTATCTCCTTGACTCTCCTCTCTCCTTCCTCCCTTCCTTCCGTCATAGTTATCAAAGGCCTGCTGTGTGCCCAGCTTTTTGCTAGTTTCTGAGATACCATGATGAGCCAAAGAGGCAGTCCCTGCTCTCCAAGAACTTACAGTTTCATTATAATAACGTTACAAGTTTCCTTAAGATGAGTGATTAGTGGCTGGGTACGGTGGCTCACGCCTGTAATCCCAGCACTTTGGGAG